ATTTGTATTTGCAAAACTGTAATCTCTGCCTTGCAGAAGAAAACATTTTTTTATGTGTGAGACTTGAACTATGTTCTGTACAAGCATTTTACCATACAAACAAACATCAGTGTTGGTAATATCACTTAAAACATTTTCTGTGAAAACATTTGTTTAAATTATGCAATCTTATTTTGGTGTCACTAGCTGAAAGCCTGCAAAGTGAATACAAAGAGAGTCATCTAAACGCTTGCACTGTAAAACCTTCATTCAGCAGCAGTGCCATACATACACACACCATTCCCACATTTGAGAGATGGGTCAAGATCATAGCATGAACATTTCTTATTGTTTTAAGGTAGGGGGGTTAAAAAGGGTGAGTGAAAAAAGAAAGAGAGGGTATTTTTAGTGGTTGCTGGTGGCGCTGCTTGCAAAGCAGGCACTATTTTAACTATCTACAATATGTTGCTATAATAAAAGCATCTATCTGAACTGATTGCTCTTCCAAAGGCAACCCAAGATACATTTTCCATGGATCCCTTTCAAAAAGAGTTGATTGTACATTGCCTACCATGCAACAGAGACACCAGGGGTCAGTTTGGTGGTCTAAATTCGAATGGAAATACTGTATTCTGTCTTTCAATGGCTGTATTCCTTCAAAGGGTAGTCTGTTAGTCACATGCCAGTGGTGGGTGAAGCTAGAACCAATCACCCATTTTGTGTCTCTTACACCCCTTTTTCCCTCTTTTCCTTTGCTGGGTTGACTTCATGACTAACTGGGAAATACAAAACCTTACAGTTCTTAAAATAAAGTGTTGCTTATCTCAGCATCAGCGTTTAGTGTTACCCTGCTGGGAGAGTCAGAGATTGCTCTTTCTAGTGATCTGAATCTACTTAACAGTAGGTTTTTAACATAAAGTCAAGGAACGCAGATTATCAAAGCCTGGTTTTAAATAAAAGTAGCTTCTACTGATTGGTAAGCAACGTTACTGTTTTTAATATCGCCTTCAACTTATGGCATTAAGTAATGCTTATCATCAACACAGGTTATATCCTGACATGCATTCAGCATATTGAGCAGTATGACAGTGGATCCAGTTACCACAGGAGTTGGTGAGTGCTCTCACACTGGAGGCATTCAAGAAAAACTTAGATAATCACCTGGCAGATATGCTTTGATTTTATTCCTGCATTGAGCGGGGGGTTGAACTTTATGGTCTTCCAACTTCACTTTTCTAAAATTCTATGATTCTGTTCATTCTAGCGGTCTTTTAACTTGTATGATAGGAAAATAATACCCATTAGTTCATTATAAAACCTTGTGACATAGGTTTGGAGGGCTGTGATAACCTAAAATCACTTATGCCATTCTTACTGCTTCAAAAGCATTTGGCAGCATTGACAATGTTCCAATTCTTACAATTCCAGACTGCTTTTTTCTGATCCTCAGAGCTCATTATTGGTTGCCTTTTCACTCATTGGTGTAGGCACTCTATCTCATGCATATCCAGACACATATTTATCAAAGCAGCAAAGAAACTAGTGGGGGAAGTAATTTTACAAAAGCACTAAAACACTTGTTCGGGTCCCAAGTAGAATAAGAGATTCATCATACAAAGCTAGTCATGCAAACTCAGGTGGGTCATATTTGTGCTTTGATTCAGGGAGGGTGCTTTGAAGTGGCTATATGAGATAAAGAATTGCCTGAAGGAAGCAGTACACTCTACTCTTTATGGTACACCGCAAACTAAAATATTCCTTGATGAAGACAAAGTGATTGATTTGATTCCAGTTAATGAATCATCACAAAATTTATTTTGGGGAAACAACTTAAGCATTCTTGTTGTTTTTGAGATGAATATGTAATTGAAGGACAAATGCATAGCTTTTGTTGCTCATTCTTCATTTGATAGCCTTACCTAAGGGAGGGTGCCCTCTTTTCCATTGAGACCGAAGTCATTCTTGTTGATGCTCTGCTCCTCGCTGTTCCCTAACTTGCAAACTAGCAACTGTGGCCTGCCAAACACTCTTTTTTGCATTTTCTTTTTTAATTAACTTTTTGTGATTTTCATTAGAGTGGCAGTAATAGTGAAAACAAAAATCTAAACTATGTAAGCAAAGCAGGTATATAATATAATAAAGAGAAAAACAAAGGTCCAAGTACAGAAGCACTACCGTGTTACCCCGAAAATAAGACAGGGTCTTATATCAATTTTTGCTCCAAAAATGTATTGGGGCTTATTTTCAGGGGATGAGGCATTGTCCTTATAATGAAGAGATGTATACCTTACTAGTTGAATGCAATCATCTGGAAATGTTCATTTTATCTAGAATCTTCACACTTGCATGTTCTTGAGTGAAAAGTGTTCCTTAGGTGTTAATGATGGGGAAGGAATAGATTCTAATCTAGGTTTAGGTTTTTGGGAAGTATATATGAGGATTACATATGTACTGGAATACCTGAATAGTGAATATTGGTTTGTCTCTAGCTTTATTTCAGTTGCCAGTTTGTTTTTGGCGATTATGTCATTCAAATTGTTCAGCCTTCAGGCTTCATGCTACTAATTTCCACTCTCCTCTCATTATCTCATTTCTTCTCTCCTTCCCTTCTCTTTGGCCAAGTCATGCCTTTATATGCAACACATGCTTTGCCTTTTTCCCCCCTCCTTCATAGCTTTCTGACCCTCCTCCCTTAACTGCTCTTATACCCCAGTTTTCTCCTTATTTCTGTGCCAGATATTTTGCCCCTATTCTCCTGCATGACTACCCCATTTTTAAGGAGCTTCTCCTTATGGTTGTCACAGTTTCTCCACAAAGGCACAGTTGCTTCTTGCTTTTTCTTTTTTTTTACCATTATGTGTTTGGATGAGTGTAAGAGGAAGAAATGTTGGGAAAGTTTGATTCTCAGTGGAGTACAAAAGAATGGATTGCATGTTGGGTTGCAGCCTTCACCTCTGGCTTGAATTGAGGTTCTTGAACAACTTACTTGCCTTCAACTCACTTGCTTCAGCAGTTCAGCTGTTACAAAATGGGTGTCTTGTGATTGGCCCTTCCAATAATGGCAGCCATTTTGTGATTTGGCATCCTCCATCATACTTGTTTTGCAATGGTGCCTATACGTACTGTGTTCTTAAAAGTACAGTGGTGCCTCTCTTAGCGATGTTAATTCGTTCCAAAAAAATCACTGCTAAGCGATTTCATCGCTAAGCGAAACGCAGTTTCCCATTGAAATGCATTGAAAACCAGATAATCCGTTCCAATAGGAATGAATTGCCATCCTTAAGCGAAAATCGCCATAGGAAACATCGCTAAGCGAAACACGGTTCCCTAATTGAAATGCATTGAAACCTATTCAATGCACCTCAATGGGGGGAAAATACAACAACAGATTTAAAAAGAGTCAGAACAAAGTCAAATTTAGTTAACAAAGGGTTTATTAAGTGCACTTTATGATTTCAAACATTTTAAACAGTAAACTTTAACTTTATAAATAACAGAAAAACATTTAAAAAACAGCAAACATGAGGCTGTTTAAACCATCGTTAAGCGAAACAGGGGATCCAAAATTTAATTGCTATGCGAAGCATGGTCCCAACCATCGCTAAGCGGAAATCACCCATAGGGACCATTGCTAAACGAAGCGCAAAAACACTCCGAAAAAGTCATCGCTAAGCGATTTCATCGCTAAACGGAGCGCCCGTTAAGCAAGGCACCACTGTATAGATATATCTACTGGCAGCTTCCTATGTTCTTACAATCTGCTCACAGCTATTAATTTCTCTTGCTTTAGAGATGCAAAAAGTTCAGACATATCTGTATTAAAGGAGTTCGAATTCTGCTTGTTGTTAGCTGCCAAGATATTTGTAAGCAGCGTATATGCCACACAGATTAAATCTTTCTACACACTATTTACATTGTTTTTATGGGTATTTGTTTTAGTTTTAAAAAGAATGGACAGAATCTCACTGAGTACCTATGCAGGCATGAATAGTGATGATGTTATCAGTCCACAATGTTATTTTTGAATTGAATTGAATTGAAAACTTTATATCCCATCCCCATCCACTCCAGGTTTCACCAGGAATCCCTTTTGACCTGGGGAAATTTCAGAATGTGGGAGAACCTTTAATATTAGAAAGTCACTTAATATTAGAACACCCTTACTATGAGAAAGTCACTTCCATCAGGATTGGGACCACCAGTGGTGATTCAGTGGCTATTGTCTGATATTAGAGCCTCCCCCATCCCACATAATTGCACTAACTGGATTTCACTATTTATGCCCTCATAGTTTCAGCCCTTGTATTTGGACACTGTGAACAGCTCCATATGTGTGAAGAGCCACTGTATCTAGTGGTATACAGGAATGCTATTCCTCCATGTCAGTATAAAAATGCTTGCTTGGGCCTCTGACAAATGAAAAAAGTAGACATGTAATGTGAGTTTGACATAGAAAATAAGTTGTTTTAAACTGGTATGGTAAAATTAAGAGCTTGAGGACCAATATTTTTATCCTGTGAAAAGCATCCAGATGCTGGCTGATCAGAATCCCCCAGAGCCTATCAAAGCTGTAGTGGAATTGCCTTGGTGATGGTTCTGAGTAGTGATTTTTTTTCCTGTTATCTTTGCTTATCTCACTCTGCTAATCTCCCTCATTAGTGAGAACAGTTTCTCAAAAGAGTGAAAGAGCACTAGAAACAGAAATTCTTAAACTTGGCTAAAATATCTGAAATCTTTACTGTTAGGGAGTAGCCAAGCTTTGACACCTTTGAGCTTCTCCATTCAACTTGTTCTCTGTGTGACACAGAATCCTTTTGTGTCTTGATTGTATAATCATTTTATTCCCCCTCCCCATGTATTCTTCTTTTATAAATGTACTAATAGAGGCCTTGAATCTGAAGTATTTGAATATTAAAATAGCTTATTTTTTGTTCCTTTTCTTTTCCATAGTACTATATCTGAAGATTTTTTTTTACAAATTCTATCTTGGAAATTAGTTTATTCATTATGTTTAATTTTAGGAAACAGTGCTCTTGCAGAACGTTCTGAAAATGTGCATATTTCAGGAGTCTCAACTGGTAAGTCATTTTTTTTGTAATGTTTAAATTTCATGCATGACTTAAATAGTAAATATTGAAAGCCACCTGGTATCTTATGAAGAGATATTTGGCTATAAAAATTATTGCTGCCTTTTGCAGCATGTAATAAGGAGTGAAGCAAGTGGAACATGAAAAAAATTTCATAAGATAAATTTGATACCTCTATGCTTATGAACAGATTATTTTTTTCTAACTGTTTAATTATTTTCCATATAGACACTGAAGAGAAAAGTTGGACCAAGTTGATTTTTTCCTACAATAAAGTTTTGTGAAGTGACATTTATAGAAATAATATTTTTGAGAACAGTGGTGCTGCCAATACTATGAGCAGTGATATTACACATTTTCTTTGATTAAAAAGTGAAGCATAATCTTGAACTGCCTTTTATGTCTGCGCAGTTCTTTTAATTTAGGTAGTGATCTGGTGCAGCAGAAATGGGATACCCACCAAGTTCATAAGGTCCATACCTCCCTCTCGAAAAGAAATCAATCCTATGCCCATCTACTTCAGCAATCATTTTTGCTTTTTGCTTTATTTAAAACATGTCTTATAAAAGAATGTTTCTTTGAAGGTGTCTTACATATTAAAATTCCAAAGACATAATGATCAAAATTCTCTTGCATTGCTACATCAGCACAGTGTGAATTGCTTCAAGTTTTAAAAAATTGCCAAGGACATTATTTGTTGTACATTACAGTAAGTCATGCAATGCCTATGGTGCTTGCTCATTTTGAACTAGTTTCCATCCAAATTTACAGTGTTTGCATTATACCAACATAACTACACAAGAGGATTTTGGCCAGCAAAAAAGCAAAGCTTAGTGAAATTAATACATAGAGTGGTGCCTTGCTTGACGATGTTAATTCGTTCCAGCGAAATCGCTGTAGAGCGAAAACATCATCAAACGAAACAAAAAACCCCATTGAAACGCATTAAAACCCGTTTAATGCGTTCCAATGGGCTGAAAACTCACCATCCAGCGAAGATCCTCCATAGGGGCAGCCATTTTCCATGCCTGTGCAGCAAGGAATCCAGCCTAGAAAACAGCGGGGGACCATTTTGAAAGCCGGCGGCCATTTTGAAACCCGACGATCAGCCGTTTGCTGATCATCATAAAGCGAAAAATTGGTTCCCGAAACGAAAAAACCCTATCTAAACATCATAAAGCTATTTCCTCGTTAAGCAAAGCAATCATTAAGCGGGGCACGACTGTATCACCAATAATGTTTTAAGAAAATAGGGAACCCAAACAGCATTAAAACATTACAGTTAGGAAAAGGTGGAAAAACAAACAGTCCTTCTCCCCCCACACACACACACACAAATGGGCCTTCAGAGGCTTCAGAGTTCCTAGATGTGACAAGCCATGTCAGGTGTGTGCACCACCATGAAAAAAAGCCATTCTCTTGTATTGCTAAGCTAACTACTCTCAAACCTGTCTAGACAGGAAGAGCTTCCTTTACCTGATGTGCCTCTCATGCTGTCACCTATAGTCATGTGACACATTCCATAATAGCTGAAATTTCCATGTCCTCTAAAGACATTTCTATGAACTTTAGAGCTCACCGCAGTGGCCCATTCTAGATGTTACTAGTATATAGAGAACCATGGCAAGGTCCATTCTGTACAGGTGGTAGCTGGCTGAGGCTTCCTCAATACTTCAGGGTTCATAATCACTTCCAAACTGTGTGGTTAGTCTTTCAAGAGCAGTGCTTCCCACCTAAGAGCAGTTGTAAATCTGCACCCAATGTAGTTGATTTATGCAGGATGCAAAAAGTGCAGTGAGGCATTCAACATCCTTCTGGAGCTGTTTAGCACTAGAAAGGAGGACAAGCTACAAAACCTAGTATTTTGGATCCATTTTGAAATCTGTTGTACTAGTATGCTTCTCAATTTAGATGAAGCAATTCAAAGGCTACCAATATACTGTATTTTTCTATGTATAAGACAATACTTTTATCTAAAATATTTAGATTAAAAATTGCGGGTCGTCTTTTACACAGAAGTAAGGACGGGGGAAGATCAAAGTGCTATGATTTCATATTCTTGGGGCAGAGAGAAGGAATATTTTGTATTCCAGCAAACAGTCCAATAAGAACTGGGTTTACTTAGTGGCCACAAATCCAATAAAAATCCTCCATTGTGGTACTTGACAGACACCTTATAGATAACTAAATGTGGCTCACCTGGGAGAAAGACTTCAACTGGGAGACTTTGAGGCTTAGTTAGGTCAAGCTCTGCCCAAACTCCCTGCTCCAGTGCTAGCTGAGAGCTTGCTGTCTGAACAGCTGCCTAGCAGGAGCTAGGCCTAGCTAACGTTTAGATCAGGGGTGTCCAACCTTTCACCTTCTCTGGGCCACATTAGAAGATGAAAATTTGGTTTGGGCCGCATGGGGAGGCAGCCCTAGCCGTCCTCCGCAGCCCCGCTCCAAGCGCACTTACCAGCAGCTGTGGTCTCAGACAGCAGAGGCTGCCAGCTTCGACTCCGGTGGCTTTATGGGGCCAGGAGGGGGTCCACCTATTGACGGGGATGGTGCAATGCAGTCACACAGCCCCCCTGTCCCCTCCCCTCCCCCTCCTTCCTTCCTTCCCTCTCTCCCCCTCTACTGTTCTGACATGCCCCGGCCACAAGCACCGGCAGTGTAACTTGAAACTTTAGAATTTCTTTAAAAATAAAAAATTGCACTGGGCCGCATTACGAGCTGACCTGGGCCGCATGCAGCCCTCGGGCCGCAGGTTGGACAAGCCTGGTTTAGATCCTTCCAACTTAGGCCTTTCTCCCAGGTGAGCCAAACATGGTGTCTGTAAGGGATCTGTCTGGTAGAACTCCCAAAATGAAGTCTTATGGAATTCATGGTCCAAAAAATCTTATCCCAACAACTTAATATTGATGGGGCAACAGTGGAAAACTGGTGGGAAAACAGAATGGAGTGCTTTTAGTAATATTGCTGAATAGCAGCACTGCTTTCTGAAACCTTTGGTTTCAGATCCCAAATCTGTGAAGTTGAAACACTTTTGTCTACACTGTGATGGAAAGGCTTGTGTCCATTGCTTACATTGTAATGAAGTGTTACACTATAAGATGTCTGTTTTATCTTCAAAGGACTATGATTAAAGACTTTTAAATATCGTAAATGAAATACAAAATGACATGTTAAACCTAATATGTCTGGTGAAAATCTTAATTATTTATTCAACTGAAAGGAACATGTAGAGTACAAATGATAGCTTCAGCTGATCTTGGATGGGATCCAAAGAACCATTAATTTGCCTTTCTTTCCCTTGAAATATGTTGACTTTCTGCTTCTAAAACAGCCCCCAAAAGTCAACCACAAGGACTAAGAGGCGCTTTTAAGCTTTTGACTCAGTGCCAGGTGCTGTGACCAAAAGCAACAATGGGACATTCTCTTATGCTCTAGACCCAGATCTGAATTAAAGTTATTGTAAGATTCTTTAACTAAAAAGTTGTCTAAATAAAATAATAACAATTATTAACTATATAAATATATATCCAAAATTTTTAAAAGGTTATTTTAGTGCATAATATTGCTTAAGTTAAACTATCTGCATTTTAACTGTCATAGCCTGTGATATGAAGGGTATCTTTCCTGACCAGGGCTGTTCATATCCTATCACCATGTTAAAATAATTAGATATTGCTGAAATAATTAGATGTTAGTGAGTCCTTATGCAAGATAAATTGAACTTCAGCCATCTCTTATTTTCTCTCATGGCATATATAAGAATCTGACCTTCTTTCATAATTAGGCAAATTCCATCATAAGCACAGCAGTAAAGATTGTGGAGAAATGAATTTCATATATATGACTACACTGGCAGTTCTTTGTCCGTAAGCATTCACTAATTGTCCCCATCTTTGTCATTTACATGTGCAAAGTTACTATTTTAAAAAACAGAGGAAAGCTGTTAGAATTTCTAAGCATATTCATTAAAAGACGCTATAAAATTTCTGAACTTTTCGTTAAAATTCTGTGTCTTAAAAACAGTGGATAGAAGATGACTTATGTTAATGTACAGTATTGGCAAGAAATTATCTTAGAGGTGCAAACTTCTGCAGTGGTGTAATGCTGTTGTGGTGTTTATCTTGTCCTGGATACCTCTTTATTCTTGCTTTTTGACCAAATTTGGATGGAATTTGCAGACATAGTTGCCTTTTCATAGGGAATAAAAGCATTTGAATTTCACACAGATAAATTCAGACAGGGTTAGTGGCTGAGTTGTTTTGTTTTGTTTTTGCAAGCTTTGTCTAAATTTAATGTCTGGTTTGAAACACAACATATTAACTTTGTACACACATTGCATATTTTGTATGGAAATGGTGTACAGTACATCGTGGAGGTTGTAAGAAACCAAAATTTTCAAAGCCTAGATGCAAATGCTAGCATCTTAAGATCAATTAAAAAACAGTTTTAGAAGAGTTTCCTCAGTTTTATGCTCAGTTCATACTGAACTTCCACAAGAGTTTAAAAGCTTCATCCATATTATAGTACATAAACGGCACAGCAGAATAGTTAATATTGATAACTATTCAATAGCAGGATCCATACAGAAATCTGACTTATGGTATCTGGTTTAGTGGGTAGAATGACAAACTAGGACTTTGGAGAACAGAGTTCAAATCCCCAACTCACTATGGGTGTGGATCTGTTAAAAACCACTTCTTAAATATCTCACTTGGAAAGCCCTACTACGGTCTCTGTGAGTCAGTTCTGACTTGATAACATGGAACACATGGGTGCACACGCCTCTATAAAAACAGATATACCGAATCAAAGGCTAGCATTCTGTTCACACAGTTGCTTATGGGAGGCCCACCAGCAGAACTTGCTAGCTGGCCTGCACATGAAACAGGTGGCATTTCAGGGAAAGCGCCCTTGAAGATGCATGCGCCTGATGACTTGGGTGCTTATCAGTGGAAGCCTGAGCCACAGGAGAGCCCTTGGACTTTAAGATTTAAAGAACTGAACATAAAATGGCCACAAGTTAATCATAATTTTAGAAATTAAAGGAATTGTTTGGAAAAGTTGATTTCTGTAATGTTTGGGCATTTTTGAAATGCTTCATCTGTGCTCTTGTAAGTCCTTTGTTTATACTGATTTGAGAACAGAGATATGTTATCTTTGTGCTACTGATAGTTCAGCTTATTGGTATATATTTTATACATTTCTCTGCATATAAACTCTAAATGCTGTTTCTGTGTTTAAAGCAAATGGCACATTTTGAACACATTAGCATTTATAATTTACCTACAGCTTCATGAATTTTAAACGAAAAGGTGATTGAGTATAATATTCAGTCAGTTGAAATGCACATGGTTATAATCTTCCTTTTTGTCTTTATTTACTTCATTCATCCCTTAACACAAATCCCAAGTAACAGATTGTTTGAGTATATTCATAAAAAATAAAGGTAAAACTGAAAGGTGTAATGGGATAATAGCACCACCTAATGGGTGTTTAAATAGAAACAATAAATCTTTCTAAATCGAAATTACCAGTGCTGAATTGATGGAAAATGTAACTTCTAAATTTCTGCAGTTTGTATTCACCCATTTTCTACACTTATCATGTGTTATGAAACATAAATCTCTTTATTTTGTTTCAGTATAAATTCCAGCTTGATAACCATGGAAATGTAATAAGATACTTTTTGCTAATGTGTTTCTTACATGTAGCTTGCTCCTTTTACTTACATGAGTTCTTATGTATTTTAATAATAATTGAAGAAGTAATGTTCTATCTTTATTGTTGTATGTTTGGAAGATGCTGCAGGTATATTCATTTTGTTGAATTACCAAGCGCATTTTATTTTCTGCTTTTTATAATGCAGCTATCATTGTACTGTCTGCTTTCTAGTTTCTTTTAGAATGAAAGAATTTAAATTTGATTAAAGTTCTTTCTTAACATTCTTTCTAATTCCTAAGCACTTACAAATCTACATTTGACATTGTAGAAAAGTCATTGCAATGCTGATTTAACTTGTTCTGCAACAAGTTCCAGTCTCCACAGTTTAAATGAGTTTTTATTTAATTTGCATCAAATTATAACAGTACTTCCTCATTTGTCGAGTCTCAATTTAAGAAAAGACAGGTTTTATCTACTGGTAAGGAGTGACTGTAGAAGATCTTTAACTATTTCCCTTCTCACCTGAGGTCTTGTACTATGTACACATCTGATCTTATTTTGCAATCCTTCTGAATTCAGGAGATTTCGGCTGGGATGGGGATCACCTATAATCCCTTCCCTCCCCATTCTGCTGGCAGACAGTTTCTATCAGCAAAATGACTTCCACTGGATAAAATCCTAAATGTCCCTCTGATAAGGTTTAGCAACTGGCTTTTCATCAGCAGAAGTAAACCACCAGCAACCTGCCAATAAAGAATCTTGATTTCCAAAAAAGCAATATGAGTGGGGTGGAAGCAAAGCAAAGTGTGCTGCTTAAATATCATCCCATAGCACTCGGAGCATTCTCTGGGTGGTTTACAGATTAATTTTTATGCTACACATTGCAAGTGGGTATTCAGTTTACTGACTTCAGAAGACTGAGTGAACCTTGAGCTGGCTACCTGGGACTGAACCCTGGTTGTGAGCAGAGTGTTGGCTGCAGTACTGTAGTTTAACCACTGTGCCACGAGAAAGGGAGTTCATTCATGGATTGCACCCTATACTGGAGACTGAGTGGGAAATTCAACCAAATGGCAGTAGGAGTGAGACATTTAAAAATATCCACCTGCAGACTGGTTGGAACCAGCTCTCAGATCACCTTAAGCAACATGCTTGGCAGGTCTCTGCCATGATCATTTTGGGATGTTCATTCATAATTTTTCTACCCTGTGCATAAGAGAGTGTATTTTATTCATGAAAGCTTTCATTGAATGTTTGATTTTAGTGGTCTAAACAAAAGTGTCACCTCTTCTACAATTGGGTTTAAAACTGATGGTATCCCTTTGCATATTTTACAGCTTGTGGAGATATTCCAGAACAAATTAGAGGCACATATGGGATAATCACAAGTCCGGGCTGGCCTCTTGAATATCCTGCCAGATTGAATTGTAGCTGGTATATCCGTGCAAATCCAGGAGAAATTATTACAATAAGGTAATATGCATATATATATTATGACTGTATTTTAGAAAATGTAAAGTATCCTGAAAACTGTATTTTGCATGTTTCCAAACAGAGAAGCTAATTCCTGTAAACTTTTCCATAAATTGCATTTGTCTTCTATTATTTTCATTCACCTCTGTTTTTTAAAAAATCCTCCTTGCATCAGGGATCCAGGTAACAGCAGGATGTTAACATCTTCCAGAGATCTCAAACTGATGTGTTGTCACTTGACCACCAGCATGATGGAACTCCCTCATCCCTACAACTATAGGCAACTCTCAAAACTAGGTCCAAAGTGTTTCCCTGGCCTCAACAGTAGTTTTCTGAGTGATGTATAAAAGTACACATTTGCCTTTGGAGCCATACAGGCAATTTCACCACATTTTTGTTGCCCATTTTAGGCTTGGGGAGCTTCTTTTCAAAATTGAAAATATTTAGAAATTATTTCCAGTGCTGAAAAAAAGCACCACCTGCAGGCCTAAATTAGGTCAGAGAGGGAGGGAGGAAAGAGTGACTTTGCCCCCACACACTGGGGGAGTGAAGTTTTTGGTTTTTTTTTTAAGTTTCAGAAAAAATTGGTGTGAGGCCTGGGAGCCACAATACATACTTTCCTTGAATTAAAGAGACTTTTGGAAGTTAAAACCTTCCTTCAGTGGCTCTGATCTTAGTGAGAAAGGCAGGTGTTGCTGAGGGTGAAAGAAAGATAGGAATTAACTATGCTGCTCTGAATTTTTTTTTAAAAAAAATTAATGCTGGCAGCTGATGCTCCTGCAATTTTATTCTGTTTTGAAAAAAACCTAGTAAGACTTTAGAAAGCCCTCCCCACCTGCAAATTGGGAAAGTGAACATTAAGGTGCATTTTTGAAGAATCAGAAAATGTGAAACTCAAGGTCTTTAGATAACATAATATAAAATGCTTCATTGGGACTTGTTGAACTTCATATCAAAAACTCAGCCAAGAACCTTAAATAGTTATCTGTTAAATGATGAAGCAAAGCAAGATGTAATAAAACATGGTCTCTTGTAGTTTTCAGGATTTTGATGTTCAAGGATCACGGCGATGCAGTTCAGATGCCCTGACAATAGGGGCCTACAAGAACATGGAGAACTACAGAGTGTGTGGGTCTTCTATTCCATCTCCTTATATCTCTTCACAAGACCATGTCTGGATCAAATTTCATTCAGATGATAGTATATCACGCAAAGGGTTCAGATTGACTTATTATTCAGGTCAGTTTCAAATGCAGAAATGTGCCTTTTCAACTTTTTTTAATGTGAGTTTTGTAGAAAGCCTTTTTTCCCTCTGAAAATTTATTATTTCACAAAAATAAACTTTTCCTTTTTGGAGAAAATTGAACACTAAAATTTTGTTCTTAGTATAACTATGTTTTATCTTGATTTTTGATATATTTGAAGTGTTAGGTAGTCATTTATATTAGGTACCTTGAAAACATTGATACTTGCTCATAACACAGAAAAAGAGCTCCATTCTTTCTGAGGCTTTGGAAACAGGCATAAGATTTTGCAGAGTACCTTATTCATTCTTGATGGAGCGTACATCCAGTGTTTTGGTCAGTGTCTATTGATGTGATTGTATATCACAAGACCTGGTGCATTAGCAGTAGCACATTTTCAGACTTAATATAAGTGTCATACCCATGCAGTTGAAACATTTGTGCGAGGGGTTATGCACGTGGCTGCTTGCAAAGACACTTGTGCAATTGTGTGATCCAGTTTTAATTGCTCCTGCAGGGATTTTCATTCCATTAACATTATATTGGATTTAGGCCTTTGTATTTGAGATTTATTGAGTGGAAAGTCTGTTGACCAAAGTGCAGTAGCATATCAATCTGCCCAACATATGAAGATTTGTTGTATCTGTTGAGCCTAGTTGAATCTGTCCTGTTATACTACAGTGTTTCCCCCAAAATAAGACAGGGCCTTACATTAACTTTTGCTTCAAAAAATGCAGTAGGGCTTATTTTCAGGAGATGTTTTATTTTTTTCATGTACAACAATCTACATTTAATTAAATACAGTCATGTCATCTGGTTGCTGCACAATGATGGAGGGTGGAGTATCACTTAAGTAGGGCTTATTTTTGGGATAGGGCTTATATTACGAGCATCCTGAAAAATCATATTAGGGCTTATTATCTGGTTAGGTCTTATTTTGGGGGGAAAGGGTAGATGGCTATAATAGTTGATTAGCATGGTATAAACATGACATATTCACTACCTTCAAGTTTACTCATACAAAATAAAAAAGCATGTAGATGTGGGCATACATAGTACTGCTGTTAGCAGTACGTGACTGTCCATGGATGTCTGTATATTTCTTGGGATGGGTGCCCTGATCACATAGAGGTTTGTGGTTGGGAAGTCATTCTCCAGCACCTGTGCATTTTAATCCTTCAGATAAGCAATGGATAAAATGGGCTAATCAGAATGGTGCAAACATAAAAAGAAAAAAAGCAAATTTCTTAAATGTTATGTTGTTGTTTTTAGGGAAATCCATTGAAACAAGCTGTGACTGTAAGCAGTTCCATTGTGCTAATGGGAAGTGTATTCCAGAATCCTGGAAATGTAATGACATGGATGAATGTGGAGACAACTCTGATGAAGAAATCTGTGTCAAAGCTAGTCCTCCAACTCCCACTTCCTTCCAGCCATGTGGATTCAACCAGTTCCAGTGTCTGTCTCGTTTCAATGTTTACACATGCATTCCAGAATCCTCAAAATGTGACGGAAACCTTGACTGTCTCGACTTGGGAGATGAAATAGACTGTGGTGTGCCAACATGTGGACAGTTGCTAAAGTATTTTTATGGTACTTTCAATTCTCCTAATTATCCAGACTTTTATCCTCCAGGGAGCAACTGCACTTGGCTGATAGACACTGGGGATCACCGCAAAGTTATATTGCGTTTCACTGACTTCAAACTTGACGGTACTGGTTATGGAGACTATGTCAAAATATATGATGGGTTAGAGGAGAATCCACGCAAACTATTGCGTGTTTTAACTGCCTTTGACTCCCATGCACCACTCACAGTTGTTTCTTCCTCTGGTCAAATCAGAGTACATTTTTGTGCTGACAAGGTGAATGCTGCAAGGGGATTTAATGCTACATATCAAGTAGATGGATTTTGTCTGCCATGGGAAATTCCATGTGGTGGAAACTGGGGCTGTTATACCGAGCAGCAGCGCTGTGATGGCTATTGGCATTGTCCAAATGGAAGGGATGAAACCAACTGCACCATGTGTCAGAAAGAAGAATTCCCTTGCTCTCGGAATGGTGCCTGCTATCCACGCTCTGATCGGTGCAACTACCAAAATCACTGCCCCAATGGCTCAGATGAGAAGAATTGCTTCTTTTGCCAACCAGGAAACTTTCACTGCAAGAACAACCGATGTGTATTTGAAAGCTGGGTTTGTGATTCACAAGATGACTGTGGGGATGGTAGTGATGAAGAGAACTGCCCCGTTATTGTACCCACCAGAGTGATAACTGCTGCTGTCATTGGGAGCCTTATCTGTGGGTTGCTCCTTGTCATTGCCTTGGGATGCACTTGTAAGCTGTATTCTCTGAGAATGTTTGAACGAAGGTATGTATCCCTTCCAGCTCTGCAGTTTTAAGTGTAAAATATAATCTGTTAGTGTGTTATTTCTAATTTACAAGAAAACATTGTAGTCCAGAGATACGGCACTAGGCAGGTACTTTATTGATGAATTCTGTATATTTTCTTTTTTGGCTAAAAAGAAGATCCATTAGTATGGTTTCCATGAAGTAGCACAGCATAACTGAAGGCTCCACACATTCCTGGAAGATCCATTGCCTTCATATAGGCTGTTGACTGGGGAATCAAATGAGTTGTTCTTATCCATGCTTCGCCTATAGAGGATGCACAGTGGGAACACCTTGATCTGAAAAAACACCAAGCCTCTATCTAAAGGTGGCATGGTGAAACCCATTCATTTTGTCATCTCAAGATTTGCCCCATTTTCTTAACAGGAATAGACCGCAACTCTACTCTTAAATATATGTTATGGCTGCTGTATTCATAAATATAATTTGTGGCCAACAGCAATTATAGCCTTGCTTTTTGATCTTTTGTACACAATATTATTTTGTTAAATATGTTTTGGATAGTCTTTTAGCCTTTAAGCACTGTATATACTTGAGTATAAGCCTAGTTTTTCAGCACTCCCCTCGGCTTATACTTGAGTCAGTGTCAAAATTACATGTTCTCCCCTGCAGTGCAGGTGTTCTCCGGACTCCCTTGCTTATCTACAGCTGCCTGCAGCCTCTGTGGGTGGTCCGATGACCCGGATT